GGAGGGCGACAGGAGGATTAACTTCCCCTGAGGGACCGAGAAGGAGGAGGGAGGACTTCAAAGAGTCCAGAGTGGAAGAGTTGATGGCCTACACCCCCCCAGTGGGGGGGGTGCGCGACCGAAAAAGTGGTGATAGTTTCCTGGTGTTGAGTCGTTCCCAATTAGGAAATAAATTTCAATGACCGGAGTTGTAACGGAGACGGAGGATGCTGGCTCCATAAGCTTAATGACATATAATAATAATAACCTAGATGGCTTACCACTGAAGCCCAATGCAAGGACAAGGCAACTTCTGCCATGGCCCTCCTGATTGCTAGCAATGACTCCACAGAAAAAGGGATCAGCAGAGGCCTCTCACTCTTTGCCAGGAAGTTCAAGGTAAAATGGTACCTAACCTTTGGTCCACATACTCAATGCTCCAGATACTTAGAATTCGGTCACCACCCAACCCAATGTAACAAAACCCTCCACTGTTCCATCAGTTCTCTAGAACACTCAGCCCTTCTCCATGCTTGTGTCACATCTGACTGCCCTACCAAGGGCAAGCCGTGCCTGCATACAACTTTTAGGTGCCTCAGTTGCAGCAACAACCACATGGCTACCTCCAAGGAGTGTCCCACCTACCTTCACGCACACCAGGCAGCTACTGAGAGGAGGAATAGGACTACTCAGGTTTTATTGGATGTATTTCCTTCATCATATTGGTTAGGAATTAGGCGTAGTGGTGGATTTCCTGGCATCATGATGCCTTGTACCCACTGAACAGTTCCTACTATTATTATAATTAGTATATGTTATTATGTCACTTATGGAGCCAAAGGCTATAAAGTGGCACTACACACATCAGGGTACTCTCAAGTACCAGGGCAATGAATCCAGCTCATACTACATGATAGTGTCATCTTTTTGTTGGGCACCGTGGCCAAAGCGCAAACAATGAAATCCTCCTCCCCGCCTCTTGCCTAACAGATAAAGGAAATACAAAGTAATGAAACCTAAACAGCCCTGCTTCTCCTATCAGTTGCTGCCTGGTGTGCGTGCAGGTAGGTAAGACACTCGCTGGAGGTAGCCAGGTGGTTATTGCCACAGTTGAGGCAGCGAATTGTGGTGTGAAGGGATGGCTTGCCCTTGGTAGGACAGTCTGATCTTCTGCAAGTGTGTAGGTGGGCTGGGTGTTCCAGAGAACAGATTGAGCAGTAGGTGGTTTTGGTGCATTGGGTTGGGTGCTGGCCAAACTCCAGGCATCTGGAGCATTGAGTGTCATGGCCAAAGGTGAGGTAACGCTGCCCCTTAAACTTCCTGCCCAAAAGGGAGAGGCCTCTGCTGAGGGCTTTGGCTGTGGGGTCTGTGCCTGCAATCATGAGAACAATAGCTGATGCAGCTTTGTTCTGGCGTTGGGCCTCAGTAGTGAGCCATCTAGGAGAGCGGGGGAGGTGGGTGCCAGAGTTGAAGGCTTCAATCTCTGCGTAGACTGTGGGGAAAGTGGTGGTGGTTGGGATACCGTGTATGATGACCTTGTGCTAGACTTCATCTTTTCTGAGGCCAGAGGGGGCAGGAATGGTAGCTCTAATAGCTTCCTCAATAACAAAGCGATGGTTTTTGAGGACAGTGGAGGAAGGAGTGTTATCCTTGGTGATGAGGAGGACATGGTGGTTAGGCATGAACTCAATGGGAGAGATAAGCTGCTTTTTCATTGCTGTGTTGACAGCATCGCGAATGTGGAGGTGGTTGGTGTCATCTGGAAGGGCAGTGCCATCTCTTTCAATAACAATGGTAAGGTCGCATTTCGTCAAAACTTCAACTGGTGAACTCTTGTTTGGTGTGGTGGTAGAGGGGCAGGCAGGGAGTGTTTTGGCTGTCATCTTGGCCCAGGTTTGCTCATGTGGGGGGTTTGGTAGGGTTGGGAGTGCTGGAGTGGGGGTCGAGGCTTGCTGCTGAAGCTGTTCTTGTAGGAGTAAAACTTGTTGGTTGAGTGCGTCAATTTGCCCTTTCAAGACAGCAGTATCACTGATGTGTCTTTGCTGGACAATACTGAGGTGGTTCATGATCGATTGAAAGGAGTCCTCAAGATAGCTGACTCGTTGTTTGGTGTTGAAGGAGGCATCTCTGTCAGGGTTGTTTGGGTCCCACGGGGACCACTGAGCAGAGCCAGGTGTAGGCTGGTTTGGAGTAGTGGGAGGCTGGACTGTATCCACAGGTGAGGGGATGTCTTCATCCATGTGGGTGTCTCCAGGCGTGGTTGGAGCTGGGGTATTCTGGTGGGGTTGGAATGGGTGTGCCAGGGGGTTGGAAGGACCCCTGCCTCTGGCTCTAGGCCATGGAGGCATCAGAGCTGATAGCGGAGCGACTCAGTTGATAAAAGGTGATGGAAAACAAATACTAGAGGATGATTTGTTGATGAAAAGTCTGTAAAGTGGGGGGGGAAGCGTGAAGATTTGGTTATTGACCAATGAGGTGGGGGCTCGGTGAAAAACTTTGTACGGTTTTTTCTTTCGCTGTGGTTGTAATGGCAAGGGAGTCCCAGGAGGACATGATGCTTAGGCGTGAACTCAATGGTAGAGATAAGTTATTTTTTGATAGTTGTGTTGACAGTGTCGCAAATGTGGAGGTGGTTGGTGTCATCTGGGAGAGCAGTGCTATCTCTTTCAACAACAATGGTACGGTCGCATTTGGTCAAACCTTCAGCTGGTGGAGTTTTGTTTGATGTGGTTGTAGAGGGGCGGGCAGGGAGTGTTTTGGCTGTCCTCTGGACCCACGTTTGCTGAGGTGGGGGGTTTGGTAGCATTGGGGGTGGGGGAGCGGGGGTGGAGGCTTGCTGTTGAAGCTGTTCTTGTAGGTGTGAAATTTGTTAGTTGAGCTTGTCAATTTGTCCTTTCAAGACAGCAGTGTCATTGATGTGCCTTTGCTGGACAATGCTGAGGTGGTTGATAACTGATTGGAAGAAGTCCTCAAGGTAGCTGACTCGTAGTTTGGTGCAGAGGTTGGTGTCTCTGTCAGGATTGTTTGGTTCCCATGGGGACCACTGAGCAGAGCCAGGTGTAGGTGGGTTTAGAGCAGTGGGAGGGTGGACTTTATCCACAGGAGAAGGAATATCTTCATCCATGTGAGTGTCTCCAGGCGTGGTTGGAGCTGGGGTACTCGTGTGGGGTTGGAATGGGTGTGCCAGGGGGTTGGCAGCACCCCTGCCTCTGCCTCTAGCCTGTAGAGGCATCAGAGGTGATAGGAGAAGGACTCAGTTGACAAAAGGTGATGGAAAACAAATAATAGAGGATGATTTGTTGATGAAAAGTCTGTAAGATGGCTGGGGAAGCGTGAAAATTTGGTTGTTGACCATTGAGGTAGGGGCTCGGCGAAAAACTTGGTGTAGTTTTTTCTTTCGCTGTGGTTGTAACAGCAATGGAGTCAGGAGGACATTGTGGTCGGGCGTGCACTTAATAGTGGGGATGAGTTGTTTTTTGATGGCTGTGTTAACAGCATCGTGAATAAGGAGGTAGTTATTATCACCTGTGATGGCAGTGCCATCTCTTTCAATGACAATGGTACTGTTGCGTTTGGTTAACACTTCAGCTAGTGAAGTCTTGTTTGGTGTAGTGGTAGGAGGATGGACTGGGAGAGATTTGGCTGTTCTCTGGGCCAAAGTTTGTTGTGGTGGAGGGTTTGGCTGGGTGGAGGGTGGAGGAGCAGGGGCAGAAGCTTGTTGTTGAAGCTGTTGTTGGAGAGCTGAAATTTGTTGGTTTAACTTATGGATTTGTGCTTTCAAGACAGCAGTATCATTGATGTGTCTTTACTAGACAATCCCGAGATGATTGATAAGTGATTGGAAGCAGTCCTTAAGGTAGTTGACTCGGAGGCTGGTATAGAGGGGGTACCTCTGTCACCCTGAGGATTGCTTGGTTCCTATGGGGACCACTGAATAGAGCCAGGTGTGGGTTGGTTTCGAGTAGCAGGAGGCTGAACTCTGTCCGCAGGAGAAGGAATCTCTTCTTTCATATGGGTGTCTCCAGGTAAGGGTTGAGGCGTGGTATTCTGGTGGGGTTGGAATGGGTGTGCCAGGGGGTTGGCAGCACCCCTTCCTCTGCCTCTAGCCCATGGAGGCATCAGAGGTAATGGGAGAAGAACTCAGTTGATGAAAGGTGATGGAAACCAAATAATAGAGGATGAATTGTTGATGATAAGTCTGTAAAGTGGGTGGGGAAGCGTGAAGATTTCGTTGTTGACCAATGAGGCGGGGACTCAGTGAAAAACTTGGTGTGGTTTTTTCTTTCGCTATGGTTGTAACTATGCAGCATCATCTATACGTAGTATGTAAGGTATATTGGTTCTATACAGAATATTGAAGGGTAGCTTCTTAGGATTAATTTTTATATACATTCATTTAATTTGGACCTGATTGTGTGATGAAATGGTAATTGTTGTGCTCTTGTCAATGTAGGAGGTTTCCTTGAAATGGAATGTGGAACAATCCTTTTTGAGAGGTGATTGTAATACGGGTGTGTTCAACACATGCTTAAGCACCACCTCGGTGGTGGCAAGTTCCCTAACCCTCAGCCAAGAACCCTCTCCCTGTGTTGGCTAATCTGCATTGACATAATTTCTTCATTTACTGGGCTGTTTGAAAACGTACAAAGGGGTCACGCTGGGTGCTCTGGATCCCGATATGGTATCGATCCACACCTCATTGCGTGCGCCTCCTTGGATGCGTTCGATCCAGGGGTTGGGGGGAAACCAAATTTCTGACGACACCAACCTCAAACGGTTAAATCCAACAGTCCGACTTCTCGCCGACCTGCTTTTTTCCACAACTCCACCCTCCGTGCCCAACACCCACCCCGCTCACTTGATGTACGTGTCTCTACAAAACCTTTCCTCCCCAGAGCTTATTTGATGGGGAAGCCGCCAACTGCGGCAAGATTTTCTTGGGATCTCACTTCAAGTTGTGCCCAGCAGCGTCATGGCTCGTGGGGCAGAATGAACCACCGGGGACCAGAGGTGAAGGAAATCTTGTTTGCACCCCCTGCACACCAAAGGAATTACGAAATCAAACCAAGAAGGAAGACGAGCGAGGCCGTGTGTAATACGGAGCCTGGTCGAAAACGCAAGCGTGACAAGCGAGAATCAGGGGAGAATGTTGGCAGGAAACGGGGCAAAGGTGCTCGGGTTGCAGGAAATATGCTAAAACCTGTTATTTCGTCCAGGAGTTATTCTCGAGACAGGCTCACTGTAGGCCGATATCACGTGAGGAAACAAGTTCTGTTCACTAATTTAGTCAACCGATAGCTTCCATCAATTCATGGAACAGGGCTTTTCAAGAAGGGTCGCGCCTCGCACCCGGTGAAATCCGGCCGTTCGTTCCGCGAGCTCCCGGAAGCGTATATTTGGCTAACGACTGAGCCGAACAGTATCGGATTTGGTTTTTTCAGAAATGAGGTTTCTTGCGGAAACCCGTGAGGACCAAGCCGCCCCGGATCGGCCAGAAATACCGGTGGTGTCCGGGGGTGAGGAGTTTTTGCGCGTGTCACTGGGGTCGGAGGTTTCACAGTCTGATAGTGCACAGAAATCCTCGGGCATCACCCATGGTGACGAAGTGGCCCATGTTACGGAAATGCAAGGTAAAGTTAAGCATGGGTTGATACCAACGAGCCTTGCCCAGTTAAACGGGGGTCGTACGACCACTGAACTTCCGCAACTGCGTTGTGTTACTCAGAAAAAGGTAGTACCAGGCCCTGCCTCCGATGTTGGGGATTTCTTCGGGGCACTACAAACTCTGTTGTCCCCTGCCCATACGGCAAGTAAGCGAATAATGCCAGGCAGGACGAGCAGCAACAAGCCCAAGTTAATCGTTGCGAACGCGAGCGCAGGAAGAGGATCTCAGGGCTTGAAAGGGTCGGTGGATGAGAGACTTCGAAAACACGTGCCCGGGCAATCACAAGCTGTGTCCCCATCGCTTGAAGTAGGAGGATTACAGTTGAGAGGAACAGAAAAAGCGGAGGGTGTTTTTTTTGGAATCCGGGGGGATGTACGAAGGCCCACAAAGAGCGGAAGCGACGGAGAATATAAGGTGTGAGAATAGTCATTTGAATAGGCTCGGAGGGGCTATCAACCGCTAGTGTTAACTTTTGCCAGGAGCAGTGGTCATCGTCACCGCTTTCAGCTCTCCTGCGTGTCTGTTCTGCTGCGCCCGACGAGGCAGACAGTAGGCGGAATATGGGATCATTGGCCCCTCACGTGATGGAATCTGCCTCCAGGGCACCGCCGGTACGAATCAAGGAAATGTTAGGACGTGATGAGGCTAGAGATCAAGCGGGCGGGCTGAGATATAATGGGAGAGTTTATGATGATAATGAATGGGGAGGGGCGCGGGGAGTGACCTGCTGCGAAAAAGCTAAATATGAAGACAGGGAAGGGCAAATACAATACCGGGGGGACGGCTGGAGCGTTCGCGGATCCGGAAGACAGATTGGTTCCGATGAGGGACAAGGTGGGGGAGTTGGGGCGAAGAGCAGGAGGGGTTTGGCGAGAGTAGGACAAGCAACGCCCTTTAACGTTCTCTCGCCGTGCGACCAAGAATGGCTTGACAACAGCGGCTCAGGATGTCTACGGGCGGAGTATCTAGGAGCTAACTCCCCCGGAGGATTGACTAGCGCAGGCACAATAGCACGTATTGAGGAGGAAGTGGAGGAAATGTCAGCGGACAAGTCGCCCGGTATACCTTGTTGGGATTGGATTGACAACCCTCCGGAAGGCACTGAAATCATGCAAGATTCACCTAAAGGGCCTGATATCCTAGAAACGAAACACGTGATATCAGGGGTAAACGAAGGATACAAAGAGGACCAATATTGTTCCTATAGCCGTAGGCTTATGGAAGACAATGGCGGGTTTCAAACGTTACCAGCTTCTGCAAACCCCGGTGCGCATATATTGGGTAGGAAATTCTGGAGACCGAATCTACGCGCGTGAGCGGACTTGCGCTAAAAGAACGGATGTGGGAATAGGGGCTATAGGCCATGCAGGGGAGGGGAGAGGTCTTAGACAAACACAATGGGAATCTTGGCGCCCATGTCATGAGACAGTTGGTGGAAATTTTTGGGAGAGAGTACGGCAGAGAGGTCAAAGGCGAGTGAGATGGGATATGATAGTGAAGAAAACTATCACAGACTGTAAGCTTTGTTATTATTATTATTACATAGCTTTAAGCTTAGTGTAAGACCATCCTCCGTCTTCACTACAACTCTGATCATTGAAAAATATTTCCTATTTGGGAATGACTCAATACCAGAGAACTGTCACCACTGTTTCGGTCTCGCACCCCCCCCCCCCCCTACAGGCAGGGTGTAGGCCTCTGCTATGTCTTTCTCCTGTCTCATGGAGGCCACCCTTCTTGTTCCTCCTCCCTTGCTTGCTCTTGTGGCTCTTGGGGGGTCCTTCTGTACTTTGAGGGATCTTACAATGCCCCTGTCTCCTCTTTACCCTGCTTTTTCTGGGCTTGCTTAGCATTCGCATAGTCGGCTTTCTTCTGAGAGGAGATAGTCTGATGGTCAGTCTTCTTGGTGGTTTTCAGGGCTGTTGGGGGCCTGCTCCTGCCTCCTTTCACAGCTGCTGGTGGTATCACATCCACTAAGTAACACTTTCTCTCAGAGAACAAGGGACTACATAAGAGAAGTGGTAATACAGCTCCTGTGTTAGGAGAAAGGACTGGCTTCTGTGATCCAAGTTGCAGCCTACTGCCATATTGTCTAGTGCACCTCACCTGGTTTGGACCTTCCTCCTCCTCTCCTCCTCCAGGTCGGTTAGCACCCTACTATGTGGGTCCTAGGGGTCCTCCTCACCACTATACGGCAGCTCTTCTACCTGGCTGCTCCCTGCCAGCCACGGCTGCCCTCCTCTCAGTCTGGCTCTGATGTCCCCCATGGCATTATCCATCCTCCTCAGCTGACATCCTCGCTGCTAGGCTGGCATCCCCTCTGCTTCCTCTTTCTGGCTGTAACTTCCTTCATCACTGTTCAGGCCTCTTAGTTGTCATCTACCAGCTGGCACCAGTCAGCTATCCATCTTGTATTCTAGGGGGTGCTGGGTCAATATCTCTTGCCACAAGGGACGACCAGTCCTCCTCCCTTGGGATCCAGTTCTCTTGTCTTCAGTCCTGTTGGGAATCCAGCTGGCATGTTGCCCTGTGTTTGGCCTTGGTCCAATATAGCCTGCCACATGTCTTTCCTACTCCATATCAGGTTGGGGGAGGCAGCTCTCTGGTGAGCAGGGCCTGAGCTACACGGCATTTGCTATAGGAGTACGAGAGGGTGGGGCTATCATGCACCATTTTGGGTCTTGAAGTTTTCAATTTGTAGGGATCCAACTGTTTTGTCACTGTCATGGTGGTGTTCCTTGTTGCTATAAGTCGCTGGAGGATTTGGGTTCCCTGGAATCAGCCCCATTTCCTGGGTGCGGGTTTTCTACTCCTGCTGGTTTTTCCAGCATGATTATAGAGGTGGGTGGACTGAAGTTTAAGGTTTTTTATTACCATACCGCAAGGTCCTTGTATTCTTTCTACCTTAATAAATCAAACTAAAAGATAAAAAAAAAAAAAAAGAAGAAAAAAAAAAACAAAAAAGAAGCTTAGTGTAAGACCATCCTCCAGCTCTGTTACAACTCCAGTCATAGAACAGTTTTTCCTATTTGGAAATGACTCAACACCAGAGAACTATCACCACTGTTTTAGTTGTCTACCTCCCCCACTCTGGCGGTGTAGGCCTCCATCCCTTCAAAGCTGGGCCCATAGCTACCCTTCCTTTACCTGTTCAGTTCCTTAGAGGAAGTTAACCCTCCTGCCCCCAACTCTTTCTCCCCCCAGGAGCCTATCTCATACTCTACCTCACCTCTTAGACTGCCTGAGCTAGGGTTCAGTTAGCTTGGGCATGGTCAGCTTGAGGGACGGAGGGTTTGGTCAGCCATCTGATTGTGAGCTTGGTTATTGGGAGTATTATTATTATTATTATGTGTCATTATCTCGCTTATGGAGCCAAATGCTATGAAGGGGCACTACATACATCAGGGTACTCTCGGGTACCAGGGCTATGGATCTGTCTCTTACTACATGATAGTATCATCTTTTCGTTGGGCACCCCGGCCAAAGCGCAAACAATGAAATCCTCCTCCCCGCCTATTGCCTAACAGATAAAGAAAATACAAAGTAATAAAACCTAAACAGCCCTGCTCCTGCTATCAGTTGCGGCCTGGTGTGCATGTAGGTAGGTAGGACACTCCTTAGAGGTGGCCAGGTGGTTATTGCCACAGTTGAGGCAGCCAATTGTGGTGTGAAGGCATGGCTTGCCCTTGGTAGGACAGTCTGATCTTCCGCAAGTGTGTAGGTGGGCTGGGTGGTCCTGAGAACAGATTGCGCAGTGGGGGGTTTTGGTGCATTGGGTTGGGTGGTGGCCAAACTCCAAGCATCTGGAGCATTGAGTGTCAGGGCCAAAGGTGAGGTAAAGCTGCACCTTAAACTTCCTGCCAAAGAGTGAGAGGCCTCTGCTGAGGGCTTTGTCTGTGGGGTCTTTGCTTGCAATTGTAAGAACCATAGCTGATGCAGCTTTGTTCAGATGTTGGGCTTCAGTGGTGAGCCATCAAGGAGGGCAGGGAGAGTGGGTGCCAGGGTTGAAGGTTTCAATCTCAGCCTGGACTGTAGAGAAAGTGGTGGTGGTTGGGATGCCGTGTATGATGACCTTGGACCAGACTTCATCTTTTCTGAGGCCAGAGGCGGCAGGAATGGTAGCTCTAATAGCTTCCTCAATAACAAAGTGATGGTTTTTGAGGACAGTGGAGGCAGGAGTGTTATCCTTGGTGATGAGGAGGACATGGTGGTTAGGCGTGAACTCAATGGTAGAGATAAGCTGCTTTTTGATTGCTGTGTTAACAGTATCGTGAATGTGGAGGTGGTTGGTGTCATCTGGGAGGGCAGTACCATCTCTTGCAATAACAATGATACAGTCGCGTTTCATCAAAACTTCAGCTGGTGAAGTCTTGTTTGGTGTGGTGGTAGAGGGGCGGGCAGGCAGTGTTTTGACTGTCCTCTGGGCCCAGGTTTGCTGATGTGGGGGGTTTGGTAGGGTTGGGAGTGCTGGAGCGGGGGTGGAGGCTTGCTGCTGAAGCTGTTCTTGTAGGAGTGAAACTTATTGGTTGAGGTCATCAATTTGCCCTTTCAAGACAGCAGTATCACTGATGTGTCTTTGCTGGACAACACTGAGGTGGTTGGTGAGTGATTGAAAGGAGTCCTCAAGATAGCTGACTCGTTGTTTGGTGTTAAAGGAGGCATCTCTGTCAGGGTTGTTTGGTTCCCATAGGGACCACTGGGCAGAGCCAGGTGTAGGCTGGTTTGAAGTAGCGGGAGGCTGGACTGTATCCACAGGAGAAGGGATTTCTTCATCCATGTGGGTGTCTCCCGGCGTGGTTGGAGCTGGGGTATTCTGGTGGGGTTGGAATGGGTGTGCCAGGGGGTTGGCAGTACCCCTGCCTCTGCCTCTAGCCCTTGGAGGCATCAGAGGTGATCAGGGAGGGACTCAGTTGATAAAAGGTAATGGACACCAAATAATAGAGGGTGCTTTGTTGATAAAAAGTCTATAAAGTGGGCCGGGAAGTGTGAAGATTTGGTTGTTGACCAATGAGGTGGGGGCTCGGCGAAAAACTTAGTGTGGTTTTTTCCTTCGCTATAGTTGTAATGCCAATGGACTCGTTATTGGGAGAAGGTTGTAGGCTTCCATACCCATGACATACAAGGCTGCTTTCCATGATCTAGGCTATGCAGTTAGGTACCACATCAGACTCCCTTGCCTGTTGGGTCATCCGCCTCCTCCTCACTCATGTGTCTGCTAGCGCCATACTGCCCGGGTACTTGACTGCCCTCCCCCAGAAATAGTGGGACAGCTCTTCTATCCGCTTCCTCCCTATTGCCCTTGGATGGCCTCTCCATAACCTCCTGGTCTTGCCCTGTGGCAGATAAACCCTCCTGGCTAGTACACCTACTGCTGGGCTGACATCCCCTCTGTCCAGTGACCTCCGTTGCCTCTGCCCCAGGCTCTGACCCCTCTGTGGGTCATCCACCTCTGGGCCTGGCATGCTCATTACATGACTGCAGGGTATGTAGCCCTACTACGCCATACTTACAGTGGTGCCTTTGGATTTACGCATTGGCAAATGTGCGCTTTATATTTTGTCATCCCAGTTGCCGGGCCACTGGGGTTTTCTTTTCATGAATGGTCACTGGCCTATGAGTGTTGTACTGGTTTTGGTGATCTTTCTTTATGGATATATTGTTAGTCATCTGAAAGCGATACTAGGTGCTCTCTTAACTCCGCCTTGTAGTAGACCAGGGCACTGTCAGGCCTGGCGTGGGGACCGATACTGGAGACCTGGCCATGGGGCAAGAGGTTACAGCCAACTTATTTCAGTTTTGGACTGGGTATTCATTTCTTTATTGTTTATGTATTTGTGATTAAGTTTTTTTATATATCATATGGTGAGGTCCATGTGCCCTTTTGTACCATAAACAATAACTACAGGAATTAAAAAAAAACAAAAAAACAAAACCTTAGTGCAAGACTATCCTCCGTCTGTACGACAACTCCCGTCATTGAAACATATTTCCCATTTGAGACTGACTCAATACTAGAGCAGTTTGACCACTGGTTCAGCCTCATACCCCCCCTACTAGGGGGGTGTAGGCTGTCACTACTCTCCCCTCGCAGCCCCTTTAAGGGTCTATCTTCATTCCTGTCTCCACTGGCGCCTATCTTCTGCTGGTGGTGGTCTTCTCCTCACCTTTGGGGGTCTCTTTGTCAGGCCTCTGTCCTCCTCTACTGTGCTTTTGTTAGGCCTCACTTAGTATCAGCACTGTCGGCTTTGATGGATATGGAAGGGTCTCCTGCTCAGTTGGCTTGGTGGTTCTCTGGACCATCACGAGTTCACCTCGGGCCTCTTCACTCTGCATACTGGTAGTATCCTACCCACCAAGTGACCCTTTCTCTCAGAGAACAAGGGACTACATGAGAGAAGCTGTAATATAGCTACTGTGGGTTTATGGTTTGCGCCTACTTCTAGGACCCTAGTTGCAGCCTGCTACCATATCAGTTGATTAGACCCACCCTGCCTGGTTGTCCTTCGCTTCTAGGCCTCTGGCTTGGCTGGCTCCCTACTGCCCAGGTCCTTGATGCCCTCCTCACTAC